GTTTTTTTTTTTTTTTTTTTTTTTTGGCTGTGTTGGGTCTTAGTTGCGGCACACAGGTTCCGTTGCAGCGAGCAGGCTTCTCTCTAGTTGTGGCTCGTGGGCTCAGTAGTGGCGGCACCTGGGGTTAGTTGCCCCGCGGCATGTGGGATCTTAGTTTCCCGACCAGGGATCGAACCCACATCCCCTGCATTGGAAGGTTGATTCTTAACCACTGGACCACCAGAGAAGTCCCTGTGAAGTGTTTTTAAAACATCAATGTCCAGGCCCCATATCTGACCTACTGAACCGTTCTGCAGGGTTATAACGTATGGACATTTGTGTTTTTTTTTAAATCCCCCTGGGTGAGTGTATAGTATAAGTTATTTTGGAAAGCTGTTATTTTGGAAAGCTGTTTGGCAGTATCCACTATAAACATAAACCTACCCTATCACCCAGAAATGTATACCCAAGAAAAATGAGCTCTCGGGAATTCCCTGGCGGGCCAGTGGTTAGGACTCCACGCTTTCACTGCCAAGGGCCCAGCTTTGATCTCTGGGCAGAGAACTAAGATCCCACAAGCCACACAGCACGGCAAAAAAGAAAAGCTCTCATGGGCATCACAACATATATAGGAGTATTTATAGCATTTTTACTCATGAAGGATAAATTGTAGTATAGTTACAAAATAAACTACACAATAGTTAAGAAGCATGAACTGCTGATACATGCAACGTGGCTGATATTATGTCATGTGAAAGAAGCCAGATATATATGAGTTCATACCATATGACTCATATATGTATGTGAAATTCAAGAACGGGCAAGAACAGTCAGTGAGGATAAATCAGAATAGTGATTACCTCTCAGGGAAGGATATTGACTGGGAAGAGGCACAAGGGAATCTTCTGGGGTGCTGGAAATGTTCTGTATTTTATTTTATTTAAAATTTTTATTTTATTTCATTTTTATTGAAACATAGTTGATTTACAATGTTGTGTTAGTTTCGGGTGTACCGCAAAGTGATTCATATATATTTTTTTCTTTTTTTACATTCTCTTCCATTATAGGTTATTACAAGATATTGAGTATAGTTCCCTGTGCTATACAGTTGGTCCTTGTTGGTTATCTATTTTATATTTAATATTGTGTATGTGTTAATCCCAGCCTCCTAATGTTCTGTATTTTAATCTGGTTGTGGTTCACAGATGTGTAGGAGGTAAAAATTAAGATACACTTAAGATTAGTGCACTTTACATATTTTACTGTGTATATGTTTGTATTAGTTTCTTATTGCTGCTATAACAGATTGCCACAAACTTGGTGGCTTAAAACACCACAAATTTATTCTCTTACAGTTCTGGAAGCCAGCAACTGTAAATCAGTTTAACCAAGCTAAAATCAGGGTGCCAGTACGGGCAACATTCCCTCTGGAAGCTCTAGGAGAGAGTCCCTTTCCTTGACTTTTCCAGCTTTTAGAATTGCATTTCTTGGCTCACTGCCCCCCTTCCATCTTCAAAGCCAGCAGTGTAGCATGTTCAAATCTCTCTCTGCTTCTGTCACATCACCTTCTCCTCTATTGTCAAATCTCCCTCCACTTTCCTCTTTAAGGACACTTGTGATGATTATATTTAGGGCCCACCTGGATAATCCAAGATGATTAATCTTCCCCTAAGATTCTTAACTTAATCACATCTGTAAAGTCCCTTTTGCCATATAAAGTAGCATCCCCAGGGTTTGGTGATTAGGACCTAGATATCTTTGGGGGCCATTATTTAGCCAACCACAATGTTATACCCCAGTAAAATAGTAAAATAAAACAATTCCCACAGTTGTTTCTGAAGAGCAGCTGAGGAAGAGAATCATTATAATAATCATTTGACTTGAATTAAACTAGTATTTTTTTAATCCCATCTATGTAAGAGTTAATGAGCTTAAAGTGAGTATATTCTTTATTACTGTTGGAACAGTTTTAGAAGGGAGGCTTAAAAGTCTTATTTTCTTTAAGATCTTTTAAGAATAAGAAAAGCTTTACCTGACTCATTCGGAAGAGATGAGGCATAGCTGAATTGCTAAAATCATCTTGGCCCATGGAAAAGGGAAGAGGCTCTGTGTTTAACTAGGTTTGATCTCAACTCTGTGAGTTAGTAGCTTTGTCACTTGGGACCTTAACCTGGCAAGTTATTGATCAACAGTTATACCTGGCACATAGTAGGTGTTCAGTAACAGTCTCTCTGTTTTTAAGACTCTGATAATTACCTACCTTTTATGTAAAATGAGAATAACAATGGTACCTACCTCATAGGTTTGTTGTGAAAATAAGATAAGGCATGTTATGGCTTAAGAAAAAATTCCAGCACATAGTAAATGTTCAATATGGTAATATTTATTAATTTTTTTGTACTATGCGCGTCTCGTCAAGTAAGTTATATAGAATGCAAGGGTGTTTACTTAGTTTTCTGCTTATGGTTATTCCTGGGAGAAAAGTAGACAGTTGGAAGACAAGTCTGAGCAACGTTTTGGACTCCTTAATTTTGTTTACTCCAGGTTGCCACATTTATCCTCCAGAAGATCCTCTTAGATGACACTGGTTTGGCTTACATATGTCAGACATATGAGCGTTTCTCCCATGTTGCCATGATCTTGGTGAGTTCTTTCATTTGCCTTCTTTGTAACTACTTCTGATCACACAGCTTAGTCGCTTTGCAGTCGACACTGAGCTGCTTCAGTCTCCCAACTAGAAATAACAACTGTGGAATCTTGTATAACAGTTCTTGCAATATCTGCTCTCTGATATCAACTAGGATTATTTTGTGTTTTGTGTGTTTTTTTCCTATCCCACCTTGTTTTGGGGGAAACAGGGTAAGATGGTCCTGCAGCTATCCAAAGAGCCTTCCGCCCGTTTGCTGAAGCATGTAGTAAGATGTTACCTTCGACTCTCAGATAATCCCAGGTAAACATTTATAGGATTTATAGGACTTAAATACTCTGGTGAATATTTCAGGGGAAATACTCTGGTGAGCAGTTGCCCCATCTCATGGGGTAGCTACTATGTCTTTAGGACAGGGAAGGGATAAAACTATATTTAGGTTGTCTGAGACAGACCTTGATTAATTCCTTTTAAGATCTGAAGTGCTGAATTTAAAAATCCATCAGAGTTTTATCTCCCCACTGGAACTCCATACCCTACTCTAAAATTCCAGAGAGTTCAGACAGTGAATCTTATGATACATTACTCCTGTGGTTTGAGCTTTCTGTTGCTACTCCAGGTGGTCAGAAAGAAAAGTATACTTTCAAAGGTCTCTTAAGAAAGGAACGGCCCAGAGGGCTCTTGAATTATATTTCCAGTTCTCTTCCTGTAAAGTCCTTGAGCTAATTATTTTATCTCCCTATGTTCGTAATCTTTCTGCCAGATTTCATACATTGTAGATACAATGTGTTTTAGAAATATTTGACCTTTTGCTTTGTAAATCCATAATTCATGCTGAAAGCCACTTGCTCAGATTCTGCTAAACCACATAATGGGTTGATTTCTGTGTTCTTAGGAATGAGGATAACTTGATTTAATGTGAACTCAGCCTCCTGCCACTGAGGTTATTTAAGCTCTAACTATTTCTTTGACCATTTTGTCCTGTTCTTTAGTGGTTCCTGTTTTCACCAAAGTTTGAAAATATGTTTACTTAAAACTCTCCTTGTACAAAGAAACTAGGCTGAGTACAAAAGCTATAACTTTTTTTAAAAAACAGCCTTATAAATTGTTAACATTTACCTTTTTGAGTTTTCAGATTCGACTTTTACCGGTCATATTTTAAAGTAAATGAAACATTTAAAAGTTCATCTGGTAATAATGTTACCATAGTTTTGTTTTTACTGCTCATCTCTTATTAAGGGTTTTAACTATAAAACTGAAGCTGTTTTTGGAAAGACACAAATTTATATCAATTTAAAGTTCATTAATTTATCATACTATGAGTGAGGTCATATCCCCTGTTAATGTACTGATTTTGGAATATTTCATTTACTATATAATCCATATATTTCCAACATGAGTATTATGACAGTGTTTACTGTAATAAATCAGAAAGCAGTTTGAATTGAAGTAAATTATTGCACCATTTTATTCCATTTGCTTTGTCACAAAATTCTACATTGGGGCATAATTCTGAAAATGTTTGCAGACAACAGATCCTGGAGCAATCTGAGCCTATGCCTAACATAAGCTTTAAAGAATTTTAATGGCTTCTTAAAGTACCTTGACACAACCATAGATTCCCAGGATTCTATGTATTTATATCTAAGAAAAGGGCTCTTCCCTGTCCCCCAGATATGGGTTTATTTGTTTGGTCTCCCTGGTCGGTTTGTTTATTTCTGATGTAGGGCACGTGAAGCACTGAGGCAGTGCCTCCCTGACCAGCTGAAGGACACGACCTTCGCCCAGGTGCTAAAAGATGACACCACCACTAAACGCTGGCTTGCACAACTCGTGAAGAACCTGCAAGAGGGCCAGGTCACCGATCCCCGGGGTATCCCCCTGCCCCCTCAGTGATCCTCCCCCGTCCCCTCCCACTACTACCCCAAGTTGGGGAAGGGAGGGGAACCTGCGAGGAATACAGCTCAGGTTTTATCGCCGACTGGGAATAGACGACCTCAATGCTGAACTGCACTGGAGAAAAGGGGCACGGTACCCCTGCTGAGGTGTATGAGCTGCCATCAGGCTGCCTTGAGGACCTGGGCTCCTTCTGCTACTCCCAGGAAATGGGCTCCTGACACAGTGTTCTGCCACCACAGCCAAGAAGGGTGTCAACACCAGCAAATGCTGTATTTGCAGCATGCCCAAGATGACCGTTCTCCCTCACCTCTACCCAGCCACTGGCAGGGAGGGGAGACAGTGGTGACAGCAGCAGCACTCTAGGCATGGTGAACACCTGGGACCAAGCCATGTGGCGTTTTCTTATTTTGCCTTCCTGGAAGACTCAAGATATGTCTCTTCATCCTCTCTCTCAGTATTTGTTTACTTTGGTTTTTTGTTTTTAATCTCAGAGAGAGGTGTATTTAGTGGACACAAGCTGTAATATTCAGCAGAACTTTGTCAGTTGGTACTGTTTACAAGTCTGTTAGATGCGTAAGCTCAATAAAAAGTTGGTCTGGGCATTACATCCCCTCTAGCAGGCCAGTAGCATGAGCTGTTGGGAGGAATGGGAGGCAGGGGAAGGATATAAAGCCAAAGGACAGCAGGAACCCACCACCTGTTTCCCTTCCCTTTCCCATTCTTTTACCCGTAGTTCTGGATGCCATAAGGACCTTAACCTTGCTTTTGGCTTTAGCTGCTAGCATTTCCAAATCTCCGTGCTTTTCCCTTCCTCACTTCCCTCCTATTAAACTTAAAACAGACATCTTAATTCATCAGGCTGTCCTGGGAGGGTATTGTATTGGGGGAGGAGAGGAGATGGTGGACGTCACCTTCAGTTCAAGTCCTCAAAGATATTTTCTAGATGACTTTTAAAAGGGAGGTGTCTGTGCTTAAGATGATAGGCTACTTGATCCTATTCTTTGCCCTAGTGTGAATCTACAGTTCCATCTGTCTTCATGATTGTACTTGAAGCAGTATTAGCTGAATGAGTTAATTTTATTCAGATTTAAGATAGAGGGCTGGACTCTGCTTCCTCACTTATTCCGTCTTTTTTTTTTTTTTTTTTTTTT